AAGATACATTTCCATCCACAACATGGCTAATAAACTTGGTAAGGAAAAAGCAGTTGCGCGGCGTGGTTTTCACAGTTACAGAGTTTGACTCAACTTCCTTTTTTTTTTTTTTTTTTTTTTTTTTTTTACGGATATGCGCACTCGCAAGGAAATGTCCTATCACGCTCGAGAAGCGGCAAGTTTTTACATCAAAGGGTGCGTACCCCTATCATTGTAAGAAAAATTGATTTGATATACTCGATGTGTATTAAGAAAGAGAAGTGCCTGGTCTGCTTGGAAAGACCCAGAAATTACTTCAGCTTTCAAGTTTGTCCTTTCCCCCAGCATCGATAAACTGACCGACGCACACATAAAAGCTCTGGAAAAGTTTACGATTGACGCAGCGGAATAACCAATGTCATTGGAAATAACCGATATCAACGAGGCCCGTCGTAACCCATTTGTCACTGGAGAGAAGTCTATCTGTGATTCCTCCTACCGCTGCTGCCCTGCTAGATCATATAAATGTGCTAAGTACCAAGCTGGAGATATATGGGGACGTGAACTGCAAGGCCCTATATCTAGCCGACCAGAACAATAGGGGTGGAAGAAGCGGGAAGATGGTTCTCCTGAGCCAGTTTGGTCACAGACAGTTAGACTGGATATGGGCATCAATTACAGAGCTGGATATATAGGTGCGGTTGTCGCTCTGGCTGTGACGAAAATAGATGCTGCTGCAAAAAATATGCAATCCCTTGCACCCCCGCCTGCAAGGTTTTCCACGGAGATTGTATTAATAAAATGTGTGTAAATTATTTTATCCTAAATATTTTATTCTAATACCCCTTTCTTTCATTTTTAGAGAAAAAAGCAAAGATTGTGAAAAATGAAATCTCATTGAGGAAGGAAATAATATACATTGTTATTAAAAAATTTCACTTATAATAAAACTAGTACCTAAATTATTTCCGGAAATTTTTTGGAACTCACGAATATTTTGGAAATTATCCCGAATCGAAGACGAGGGAGATAAATTAATAGAATTAGGGGGTAAACTCCCCTTTTAGGGGTTAGAACTTGTTTTTTACTGCCTTTAGGACTTTTTATAAACTACTGTCAGTATGTATTTGCCAACCACAAGGCTTTCGAACAGGATAAAAGCACGCTTATTTACGATTTATGAAGAAATTAATTCCAATTTAAAGTGAGGAATAGCAATCCCCTCCATTCCACCCCTAAGGAAAATTTTCGTATTAACTTCGGGCCAAATTGATCATTTGAGTCTAAAATATACGTGTACCAAACGCTTTGCTTGTATCACTTTGCGGTTTTTATATAGTTACCGCTTCCACTTTAAAGGAAGGAGATAATATTGGAACTCTCCAACCAGTTTAGCAAATATCGAACTGTGACCTACCATATAAGCGAAATTTTGTAAAACCGAATTTGGATACAGACACCTTGATGCAGACTTTGGAAACATCATGGAAAACCCTCGATCCAGATAGACTTCAAGAAGCCACAGATTTCATCTTGAAAGAAGCAGACGTATTTGTGATGGGTAATCAAACCGGACGGACCAGTTAAATTCAACATAAAATTGATACTGGATTGGCACACCCAATAAGACAACCACCTCGACGTATGCCAGTCGCTAAACAACAAGAAGTGGAAAACCAAATTGACAAAATGCTTCAAGAAGGAATTATTGACGAGTCAAATAGTCCATTGTCTGCGCCAGTAGTATTGGTTACCTACGAAGAAAGTTGGAAGTCTTAGATTTTGTGTGGACTACCGTAAGCTTAATGACGTCACCAAGAAGGACAGCTTCCCTCTCCCGTGGATAGACGATACACTAACAACTCTATCAAGTTCCAAATGGTTTTCCACCTTGGATCTTAAGAGTGGATACTGGCAAGTGGCAATACACAAAGATGTCAAAGAGAAAACTGCCTTTAGTACCGAAAGCGGGTTATACCAGTCTAACGTTATGCCTTTCGAATTGTATAATGCTCCTGCTACGTTTGAGTGACTCATGTATCTAGTTTTGCGAGGCCTTACATGGACAACTTGTCTGGTATATTTAGATGATGTCATGGTCATGGGAAATTCATTCCAAGAACATCTCAATAACCTGAAAGAAGTTTTTGACCGCTTCCGGAATGCCAACTTAAAACTCAATTCAAATAGGTGTTTCATATTTCAGAAGAAAGTGGAATTCATAGGTGACGTGGTATCTGAAGATGGCATACAAGTTATGGGAGGAAAAATTGATACTGTCAGGGATTGGCCAAAACCACGCGACAAACATGAACTAAGGAGTTTTCTAGGATTATGTTGTTATTATCGAAGATTTGTGGGAGGATTCGCCAATATAGCTGCTCCACTTCATCGATTAGCGGCAGAAAAATCAACATTCAATTGGACCCAAGAATACGATTCTGCATACCAAACAAATGGAAGAAGGTCAAGAAGCAGACCAGGACATCAAGCACATTCTACATCTTAAAAAAAATTCTGAATGTAGGCCAGAATGGAGGGAACTGTCGAACAAGAGTTTGATTCACTAAGCGTGGTTGACTCAGTGGAACTCTCTGACCGTAGAAAATGGTTTACTGAACAGAGTTTGGGAAAGTGCCGATGGGAAAACTACGAAGAGCGAAATAGTCATTCCAAAAAATCAAGTAGAAGATGTATTAAAAGAAATACATGACAGAACTTCAGGGGCACATTTTGGAGTTGACAAGACTTTGGACAAAATTCGAGCAAGTTTTTACTGGGTCCACTATCAGGAAGATGTTAAAAACTCGTGCCGGAAATGCGACATCTGTGCTACCAGTAAAGGCCCTAAACTAAGATCTTGGGGGCCTATGAAACAGTACAATGTCGGTCTCCCATTTGGAAGAATAGCGACAGATGTAGCCGGACCGTTTCCTGAGTCAGAGCGTGGTAACAAATACATCTTGGTTATTATGGATTACTTCAGTAAATGGCCAGAAGTTTTCGCTATTCCCAATCAAAAAGCCATCACTATTGCTCAGGTGCTAGTGGACGAAGTTTTTAGTCGTTATGGCGTACAACTAGAGTTATATTCAGATCAGGGACGACACTTCGAATCTGCCATCTTTAAGATAATTTGTGAGATCATGGGAATTCGTAAGACAAGGACAACACCTTTACATCCACATTATGATGGATGGCTTGGTAGAACGATTTAATAAGACCATAGAGGAACACCTGACAAAAGTAGTCGCAAAGAACCAGCGAGATTGGCACAAACATTTGTCTCTATTTTTAATGGCTTACCGAGCAGCTGTTCATGAGTCAACAAGTGAAAGTCCAGCTAGAATCGTTTTTGGAAGAGAACTTAGGTTACCTTGCGATCTGATGTTTGGAATACCTGAAGAAGAACGAAAAGAATTTCGAGATTATGCCGACGAAGTAAGGGCACGACTTCTGGGGATACATGATTTTGCTCGGGAGCATATACAGCTGGCCAGTGACCGGATAAGACTTGAAACCCAATTCAGCCAGATTTCAAGAAGGTGACTTGGTGTGGCTGTATAATCCAACAAGAAAAAAAGGAGTGTCGCCGAAATTGTCTTCAGCATGGGAAGGACTCTACAGAATAATCAAGAGAATCAATGATTTGGTTTATCGAGCTCAGCGCATTACCATAAATAGGATGAAAGTTGTACGTCTAGACAGATTGACGAAATATCATGGGCGTGAAGTTGATCGGGACGAACAACCTTTAGAGGAGGGTAGTGTTACGGTGGCGCATTCGCCAGGCTGACGAGAATCCAACCTAAAGTCTAGAAAATACCGATTCATTCAGCAAAAGAGAATGGATTACGAATATATAAAGGCCGGTATTAGTTAGTAATTTTTAAGTTTTAAGATTGACTTTGATACGATCTAGATAGTGATCATTGTAAGAGTTGTGAAGAGTTAAGTTGTTTGAGTTAGGTAATTAGTGAAGTTATAAGTGTTAGAGTGTATAGTAACGTTGAAAAAATTATAATTGTGTTAATTGGACTTTGATTTTTGGAATAAACGGACCCAAGATTAATGTCAAGCAAGCGATAAGCCGTGACATTATGTCAAAAAAAAAACAAAATTCCGATTATATCAGATATGGGAATCTATTTGAATTTCAAGTAGGTACCCACCTATAATAACCATGGTACAAAATATACCAATAATCAATTTAAAATATAGATACATCCCAAATCCCATAAGTCCCAAATACTATCCAGATCTGTCGTTTTTTCTCTTTAGCACCCATCTAGAGAATAAGCACCACCCTTTGTAGGAGTCTTTATCATACTTAAAGGATAACGGTAATCTCTTCAATCCATAAAAAAAATTTAAGCTTTCACAAATCAAATTTGAGAACAACCATTATTTTTATTGTTTTTGTTACTTCAATTTACTTACTCTCTAAGCTTTAATGAAATTAAGGCAAAAGGTATAGTAACCTTCTTTGGCACAATTAACAACAAACTCGTAATGAAAATTGCCAGATAATAACTATAATCTTATCTGAGATTAGCAGATATGCACCTCGACTTTACCTCAATCAACAAAGAAGCTAAAAAAATAAACAGAGTATAAAATTCCATTTAGCCTCTTGAATATACGAGGTTCAATTGGATATTATAAACCATAGGTAAGAAAATACAAAGTTCAACTTAACAGATTGTCAAATATATACTTCCAAATTTCTACATTCGATGCAACCGATGTCCATGTTAGTGGGCATCCTAATATTTTAGAAAAAAATCCTAAAAAACTAATTATGTAGTCCCTAACTATATAGGAAATATTATGATAAGGACTTGGGTGTTTGTTTGAAACTTTGAGGATCGGTATTCAAAATAGATCACTTAGTTATATCATTATTTGTTTTTATCATCCCCAGTAAACCTATTCACCAGTCTTTGATATTTTATAAAAATCCCTGGTATTTACTAAATATCATATTTTTTAATACACATCAACACTTTGGATGCACCAAACTCTAATCTCAAACGGTTCATATTCACGCATGGAGAATTTCTGCAACCGTATAAAACTAATTTTAGCAGCCTCATAATCTTTAGTACATTTTTCACATCCTTATTGTTTAAATTTTTTTGAACATGCAGCGCGCCGTTATAATTTTTCTTGCAACAATATTTTTGAGTGTAAATGGAATCAGTGCCGACACAGATACAATATCAGAACTTTACGAAATCGCGGTGACAGTTAAAAAGTGTTTGTCCAATAAACATCCCGTGGTGTGCCTAAAGGAAAAAGCATTGGATGCTCTAAATGAAACAGTATTCACTGACGAGCCTATTATAATTGGATATATAAGAATAGAGAAAAATGATGAATATGATTGGAATAAAACTAGAGACAGTGCATTACCAAATGAAATTACTAAAAGAAGTTTATTACTTAATGATGCTTTGTATGAAAAGTTGCAGGATTTTTTTAAGTCCAGGACTATTAGATTCAATATCGATGAAGCAGTAGAAGGTAGGTATATTTTTTTTCCCCCAAATTGCCACTTTTTTGTATTGCGTTGCGTTATCACTCATTTTGTCAGTTTATCTGGTTTCTTCATTATTATTTTTTGAACTTCCAGGTAGAAAAAAGGGCGGCGGAGGAGGCAAAGGTGGTGGAAAAGGTATGATGATGGCTGCAGCTGCTTGCGTGGGTGCAGGAATGATGGTTGGCAAGGTAAGTTTCTAAGTTCTTTGATATTGATACGTTTCAAGAATTAACACTGCACTACAAGCGAACAATAAAATTCCCTAGAAACAGTTATGCCCCATTATTTATAGTCCTAATGAATGGAATGAAAAATAGTGACTTGAGAACAGTTGACATATGTTTATAATATGCAGTGCTTCAAATGCGTTGCTAGATAGAATATTTTTAATTATTGAAAAAAAAAAAATAATAGAGCAAGTTTGTGAAGTTACCGATGCATTCACCGACGTTCAATTGTCTTTGTAATATTTTTCAAGTGGAACAGGGACAACTAGAAGTGGTGAAAGATAAAAAAAAAACGATATTTTTTGTTTGCGTAAAATAGAGAAATAGGCTTCGATGTTCTGGAAAGTGTATTTTCCAAAATAAGTAACCCAAATCAGGGGAAAGGTATGTATTTTTATCGAAACATTTTGTATTTAGCTGAGCTCGCACTATGAAAAAACCATGAACAGCAATTCGATTGCAATTTTTTTCTTGGGGCCAGTTGTTAGTGTTAATGCGGAATTTGCAATGAAGTTAGCTATCTATTTATCCAATATTTCGAAAATTTATCAAGTTGAAAAACGAACGACCTTATTATCTATTAACCTGAACCTATGCGATTTCTTTCCCCATTCCCCATCCACCAAGGTTTTGTAGATTAGAAATGTGACAATTTACCTACCTCGCAATTTACCTAAAACTTTTTGCTATACAACCCAGAGTAACAATACCAGTGGCTAACTTTTTAGCTGAAGTTTACTTTTTCCCAAATAATATACTTAGTATGTTATCTAAAAAACATTCAAATTTCAATTATTTCTCGTTATATTACCATTACAATTTAATAATTATTGTTTTTCTTACTTTTTGGAAAACCGCAGATGGGCATGATGGCAATGGCAGCAATGATGATGTCCAAACTATCCCTCTTATTGTCAGCTATAATGATGCTCAAAAAGTCGAAAGGCGGTGGAGGAGATGAATCCAAAGAAAAACAAATCAAAATAATTTACGCCACCACCAGTGGTGGTGGTGGAGACTATGGAAAAGGCGGTGGCGGAGGGGGTGGAGGAGGTGGCTGGCATAGAAGTTTGAATCACGAACCGCAGACTATTACCTATAGAGCGCATATTCCTTCAGATGCAAATGCGAATGTTGTTTATGAAGGTTATTAATATTTTTTTTTTGTTTATTAACTGATCAAAATATTGGGGAAACTGGTGTTAGTAATAAATTTTAATCCTTATTTTATACATCAAAATAGATTATTCTTTTTGATTTCAATTAGCTTTTATATATATTTTTTGTATATAGTTAAATTTATCTAATTTACTTAGAACATAAGAATTTTATTATGTAAGGCGCCATTTGTAGGTATGGATTTACTTATTATTCATTTATTTATAATATCAGGGCATTAAATGTTTTTTTTCTTGATAATTTCTGTATTTTTATTCAAGTAGAAAAAATAATATAATTGCTTGTGTCTTTCAGGGACTGTCAAATGCGAGAAAGAATCTACCAATAGTCCAGAGAAGCACAATTTGTCCCAAAAATAATCAAACAGTTATTACGTTGTATCCTAAATTCAGTAAATCTGAAACAAGAGATGTAAATTAAAATAACAAAAACCTACCTTTTCCCATGCAATAACTAAACCCCTTAAAAAAAAACAGATTTAAACCTTCATCAAGATGTCAAGAAATTGTATATTTAGAAACAATATATTCTTTAATAAAAAGGCATTCACCAAAATATCGGGGAAATTGAAATTTCTTCATTTAAAAATAAAATTAAGTTCAAAGGAAAAATAACTTATATTATAACAATAAAGAAATAAGTTGATTAGTTGCAAAAATGTGAACTTCACGAATAGGTACAACTTTCGTTATATTTTAAAATGACATGCGCATGTAACATTAAAAGTAGATATTATGCAAATCAAATTTTAAGATTAAGTCATATAGGTAGGTAAGGTTCGTTTCTCGAGGGTTCATAATTTTGTTATCGAACACGTTATAACTTGAAAAAAAAAAGGTTGTCGTAGATTAATTCATATGACACATTCAATTTTTTTGACAAATTAAAATGAATGACTTCTGGCTTAAGAAGTCATTGATTTGTTTCAGTCAATTTCTATTTGTTAAAAAAGGAAGGCAAATTTTGTCTAAAGTATGAACCCTCATGAAACAAAGTTTACCTACTTAATTGATTATAAAATTGGCCCTAACAAATATTTTATAAATTTTCTGTATTTGGTTGTTTAATGCATAGGAAATATACGGTACCAACCTATTTATTCGATTCTAATTAAATATCTTTAATTTTTTCTTCTCTCTATTTCTTCGAGGTTTTAATTATAAACATCTAATACATGCTAAATTAAGGACACCAGTAGAACACACGGTGTGTGGAGAAAATGCCGGAGAAATCACATGAAGGAGTTAAATTTAATCATTAACATTGCGTAAGGTCGTATCCGCATATCTTCAAATAGGAAAGTCTAGTATTTTGATCTTGGCCGAGAAAGATGCGGACTGTAAAGTTCAAGACCAATGTCATTTTTTTTGCAATTTGAGAGTTCTAATGTTTCTTGAATTTCTAGGAAGGTTATTCCTTGTATCATTCCAAATAATTTTACTGGCAGAATGTTGTTTTTTTACAATTCAAATTGGTGTCCAATTTTATAAAACAAAAGTTATACTTAATCACATTAGCAACTTACAACTTAGAACGACTTCTGATGCAAATAGCGATGTATAATATGAAATATCAGACACATCTGCGATTACTACGGCCTCTAGGAGAAAAAGATGAATTTGAGATTTTTTTCTGTCATAGACATACTATCATAGTATAGGTAGGTACCTATAATATTCACTTATACCTACTAAGCATTTAAATTAGATATAGGAATCTAACACATATATAACCTTCACTGATAAATTTTTTTTTAAATATATATTATAAATAATCACTTACTTATCAATAAAAATCCAATGATATGGATCAGTAGTTGAAGTTTTTGAAAGGATAATAAAAGAAATAACATCAGAATCTGTTGTTGCTTGTTTTGGAGATTTTTTCAAAAACTATGAAGGACGTGAGCTCATGTCCTTTTGATGAGTCCTTATAAGGACGAAACGTGTAAACATCTGGCTGGGGAATTTTGAGTTTTATTAATTTGGACGTGCTGCTTCCCTCAAAGAACTTCCATGTAAACATTTATACAGGCAACTGTATAAATTTATAATCGTCGCATATAGGTATTAAAATTCACCAGAGTACAGGGTAGTTCAATTTCGACACTTTTGATAGGAAACGTCAATTTCGGAGCAAAATACAAAAATATTAACAGCCCACTTCAAGGCTCAAATTTCATGAAATCTTCATTGGTGCAAACCGACCAACCGATTTGCCGCTAGAAGATGATGTTTCTCGATTTTGAGTTGAAAGGTTCCACAGTATTGGAACCTTTATACTTTTGTTATTTATGAAAATAATTGATTTCTGTATGAACTTTTTAGAGGTACTTTTTTAGACAGAATCCAATGACGTAGTTACTTAATTTTTGTCTTTTTGGTCCCGATTTCGAGATATTGACCAAAGTCTTGTTTTCTAATCAGGACACCCTATATAATCATCATCATCATCCCTATATGATATTAACCCGCTGGTTAGCTATGTGTGCTGTTTCAATGATATAAAGTGTACTGATGCTGAATATCTCCTCCACATTTTCTCTATCAATCTTTCAACGGAGTCGTGTATAACTGTATATTCATGCTGTGAGGTAGGTACTACTCAATTTCAGGCTTTCCTAAGGAGATTGCAGCAGGATGTGGAATCATCGATGGAAACTTAAACTAAAACGGCGGACATGTTGGTTTTCTGTGAGTGATCCGATGTCGGCCCTTCCACTGCGACCTGCGGTCTATTATGGCTCACTCTGAGTTCAGCCCTTCTGATAAAGGTGGAAATGAGCATGGGGGAAGCATGCTTTATGTATTCGGATCAAACAGCTTACTCCTCGAATACAATGGCTGTTTTCGAATCGCTTATTTGGTTTGTCTTCAAGGCCAACCCAACCAAATTAGAACCAACCGTTTTCGATTGCAAACCGGTGACGCGACAGGCATCGCTTGGTCCGTCTAAATTCGAACCAGCATCGCGAGTTGGTTCAAATTTTGGTTTGAACTTCGATTTGCTTTTATAACTTTGAAACATGGCCTTTTTCTTGACAGACCAAATTCAAAAGCTGTCAACCAACTTCTGTCATATCCGAACCAACCAGAGGCCGAACGGTTGCGAATCGAAAACGACCAATGATTCTGGCAATTGCCGGACACGTGCTGCAGTTTCATCTTCTTCCATGCACAGGCGACATTCCGATCCTGTGCATGTGATGCCGAAGTCTGGAGTGTACAATGTACAAACCCACCAGGGCTTTGAGGATTTTCCTGCCCATTCCCAGAAGTGTACCGCCACTTTTTACCCTTTCTGGGGTGGGTACAAAGGATTTTGCATGGTCCATAAATGGTAACCTCTCGCAGTATTATTTGGACTCTAATTGGCCCAGGTCGAGATTGCTTGGTTGACCGTATTTAGGGCTATTGTCAAAATGGTTTCCGGTCCAATGAAGTTAAGCTCAGACCCAACTTTTGCAAGTTGATCTGCTTTTTCGTTACGTTCTTGTCCGGTATGTCCTGGTATCCAGACTAGTGAAACGTTGTTATTTTCCCCTAGCTGATTCAGGGCTTGTTCGCAGTTCCGATGTACAGTGTATGGATGCCAGTGCGAGTACCAGTGCTTCCAGCGCAGCTTGGTATCAGTAAATATTTGTATCGACTTTTTCATTCGTCGGATTTCCAGCAACTTTTCGCGCCAAGTTCGATGGCCTGCAGTTCTGCCCGGAATATGGATGCGTTTTTCCCAAGGCTGGTCGAAATTTTCAGTCCTAGTGTCTCGCCATATACCCCTGCTCAGACTCCATGGTTGGTTTTAGAGCCGTCTGCGTACAAGCAGAAGTCTGCCTTCGGTCCTGTCATCGGCCCATAGCTGTCTGTCAGAAATAATTGTTTTGAAGGGCAAACCAAAGTTGGTTTTCTTTGGTATTATGTCGGAAGGCATGTTGGGGGTAGGAACCGTGTCGATTTATGTCGTTCACTAGCAGCGTGTGTTGCATCGCGCCTCCACCCTCTAAAGTGTTTTTTGAAGCATGGTATAGCCGATATGTTGTCCTCATTGCCTCCTCCTTCACACATATGTGAAGGGCAGTTAGATCTATGAGGACTTCCATAGCTATAGCTGCTATAGGCTTAGAGCGTAACGCTGCCGTTATCGCCAGGCAAGCTATTCTCTGCAGTCCGCTAAGTGTGGTTTGAACCATTTTCTAAGTCACCTTGCCCACCATACTACAGATCCGTACACTGAGAAAATCGCGTTAACTAGATGCGTGAGTTATATTTTTTCAGTTACCATTACTAAAAAAATTGTTATTGCGACATAACTGTCAGTATTCGCAAGCATTTGGTCTTACTTTAGCAGTCATTTTAACTTAGTTGCAATTCTTAGGTCGTCACAACTAAGCCTCGATTTTTGAAAACTGAACAATTTGGTAGCCAACTATCATTGTAGTTGTAGCAACCAGCAACATGTATTAACTAAGTGGTTGGGTTTTATAAAAAAGCAGATAAAAAATAACCGAAATAATTAGTTGAGCAAACAGAAATCTAGTTGCAACGACTAGTACTCGGTAGTAGAATGTTCGGGAGATTCCGTTCCAATGGGACGCCAAGCTTTTGCAAAGTTCGTGCCGATCTTTTTGGCTGTTCCGGATTCGGCTTCATTCGCGTTCATTCCACATCGAGTGGCCGACTGCGAGCTTGATGTGATGATGCGGTAGGTAGGCACGCGCTCAAATCGTGAATCTTCAAAAAAATCAAACAAAATGGATAGCGCTGAGCAGCAGCAGTATCAGTATAAATATAAAAAAGTTTTGTGCGAGTGAAATATGGCTCCTGTTTAAGTGCGTTTCAGGGTAAGAAGGTGAACGGTTATTATTTCCTTCAGTTTCATTTAGGGACAATAAAAAAATTATAAGAATAAAATATTATTTTGGTAAAAGATGTTGTTTTCTGACTGACTTAGTGTTCGGCATACTTCTATGAAGGTTTTTTTAAAAAAAAAAAGGGTTTCAAAGAATGGATGTTTATTTATTTATTTTTTACTATGCATAACTTTCATGCGAGGAAGATAAAATTAATATTTGTTAGGTTAGGTTTCAGTAAAATAAAAAGTTCAATGTTATTCTTAGTTTTTAAAGTAGATTTTCAATGTGTGCTTAATTTAAGAATATGTATTTAATTTGAATTGTTACCAGTATCGGTATCAGGTTAGGTTTCAGTGAAAC